GCTTGGTAACGGTTTGGATGGGAATGGGAATTGCGATTTATCACGGGAACGCNTATCCCTGACCCTAAACCTAGCCTCCCCTCTACTCAACGATCCATGACGCGTACCCCATACTAAAAGCAGCATAATAGTGGCCCCCACGCTGAAAACAAGACACTTGGGGGGACCACACTAAAACCAAGACACTTGCGGGGCAAAGCAAGCAACAGTAGGGCCCTCATCCAACCCCCCCCTCTACTCAACGATCCATGTCGCGCCTCCTATAATAAAAGCAGTATAGTAGTGAGCCACACTAAAACCAAGACACTTGGGGGTCACACACTAAAATCAAGACACTTGGACGGGTACTTCTTTCCGACACCGTAGCGTTCGCAGATCGGGTCAAGCACGCCCTTGGGAATCGTTGACAACCCCGGCTGAATGCCCATCGCAATTTCTACCGCCATGGCATAGCGCCTACCAACCGATAACTCGGTGCCCCTTTTGCGAGGTGGTGTGCTGGGGGGCGATTCCATCGCTAGAATGAGTAGTGGGCCGGTAGGGTACTAATATCATCAGATGGTTTTGAGATTTTTTTCGAGAATTCTCAAAAACAACCCCAAAATATTTTCTCAACAATATTCCCAAAACAGGCCAAAATAGGGTATGTTTTGACCGATATTAGGTACAGAGATAGATGTTCGTTTTTTTATTTTATTTTTTCTATCGCTTCTTCTTTGTTATATCTTTCTTACAAACCCGACTATACTACCATCACTAACACGGTTGCACCCAGACAATCTATTGCATTTAGTTACCCCAACTTATGATACAGAGGAAGTATGCCATAGCGTGAGGCCGGGGACGTGCGGGTTTCAAATCCAGGTCTGGCGTGATGATGAACGTATGTACATACTACCCCGACGGTCTACAGACATTATCACCGTGTATGACACAAGATAACACCCCCCCTCGCTTGAGGTAGGGGAAACCGTAGACATACAGGTAGCCTTTCGCTCACGCTATGGATTCATTGCTCATCTATCTTAGGCTTATTTCTATAGATAGAAATGGATTTGTGGTGTGATATTGAGTAAATAAATGAAAAACCCGACTTGCCCGTAAGCGGCGAGTTTCGTGCCGTTGCACTTGGCGACCGATGGTGGTACTAGATTGCACCCCTGCGTCGTGCCGACTAGTTTCCATTCCTGCCTTTAGCTGTGCCACTTTTTTCTAATATTTCTGGTTTGCCAATGTAGACTTAGTCTAAATATAGGCTCGACCGAGCGTGTAGGAAGATCTCTCCCTAGCCGGCCGTGCTCGAATGTGTCATGGGATCGTTTGCCGTTTGTGTTGGGTGATGTTGCGAGCTCGTATAAACTCCGACTTGTTGTGCTATGCATAGGGGGAACGCTTGGCCCCCCGCCCCCCAGTGGGGTGGGCGGCCAGCATGCATGCGTTGGATGGGCGCGGTGGTTTGATAAGCAGAGGAAGTAGAGGCGATAGTGACATCGGCCAGCATGCGTTGGATGGGCGCGGTGGTTTGATAAGCAGAGGAAGTAGAGGCGATAGTGACATCGGGGGTGTTCCGCGGTAAAGACGAATTGTCTCTCCCGCGGCGAGGAAAAACTCGAATGAAAAACCGTTTTTGGATACATGTCTAAAACGACGATTAAAAGCATTAAAAAAAGAGAAACAAAAAAAAATGTGATCGGATCGCGTTGATTGTTTTTTTTCACCGCGTTGCCGATTTCGGCGCCTCCATTTCTCCCCGGCAATCAATTCCGCTTGGCCGATTTAGAGGGGCTAGAGCCACTCAGAAAGTTGATCAGACAAAAACTCGACGTGGGAACCGAGAATCCAAAATCCCAGGAATTTTGAAATTGCTCAGCTACTGTTACATGTTAGCTTTTGAGCAGCTGAAAGTCCATTGCAAATCAAAACTGGGACATTCCAACAATATATTTGTGATCCCCACCCCAATATTACCCTAATTCGAAGTTAGGAGAGATTGAATCAACATGTAGAAAGTGTTGCGGGAGGGGGGATATTTCAGTGTAATTCCTAGTAATTCCAGGTTGTCCCTGCTTTCGCGCATATATATCAGTGCGTAGCTGTATCACGGCCGCATCGATCCCGATCGAAATTCTGACGACGGATTCTTGATGTACAACACAACATTATGCTAACCTGAAAAATTTATACGATTCGGAGGCGTTTGCAACTTGCTCGGGGGGCCCGCAGACGCGATTTTCACCCAATTTTGGCCACTAATTCATCGATAAGTCATCACCACGACATCCAAATGGGAAAATAAGTATATTTTCGTGATCCTCGTGACCTAACGGATGTTGGTACAAATTTTCAGAGGTCGGGAACCATTTCTTGCTGCTCATTGAAAAACTCGTGGAAACTATTCGTCTTTACCGAGGAACACCCCATCGGTACGAATAAAAGGTTCTTCGTGTAGTCTAATTCTTAGACGATGTGAGGTCCTCATTCACGTCCGTCCGTCCATGGCGTAGATAATCGGTGGTGAAAAAAAAAACGAAACCGATGGGAAATTGGTTTAAAGGTCGATGTACGATCACCATCAAACACAAAACGGAAGGAAGACGGGTGTGGGAAATGTCGTGAGGAGGGAATGCGTGCGTGGATGAGATCGAACATGACATCCATTCCGTGTATGACTGAGGTGTTGTTGATGACGATGGCAGATTGAGAACAGGGTTTTGTCCGAAACAAACGAAACACGGGTGCATGCGCCAAGACTTGTCTAGTCTACAGCAGCAGCGCTTCACCTTACCCGGTGGTGTGGCATTCAAGTACCCTTCGCGCGGTAGCAGGAGGTATGTCATGCAGCCGAAGTCGAAAAGATTAGCTAAATTTCGGTCTTGCCCAGCGTATTGCTGTAGACGTGTACGGTACATTTTTTCCCCCAATACTATTATTTAGTTCGAAATGTATGACGACACGACCCCAAATCTGTGAGTACATACTTCAAGAATATAACATGATAACATGTTTGGACAGTCGGCAGCTGCTGAGAACGCAACGAGAGACCAAACAGGGTTGGCGAGAAGGAGGGGGGGTTGGAGGGTCACTTCCAAGAGTAAGGGTATGGTATCAGTTGAGGTTCCGTTCCGCGTCTTGCATGGTGCCGAAGTGTCCATATATCACCATACCTACAGCAGTAGGCCTGTCGACCTTCCCAGCGTGTGGCGAATAACAGGCATGACGGTGTATAGTTGGTGCAGGACAGAGCTTGTTGCCTTTAATGCGAGGTGTCCCCGCCCCTTCCCTCCCGTCGTTCTCCGTTGTGTGGTCTTTTTCAAATAGCGGAGTGGGGCTTGTCGGTGGAGAGACCAGTGAAAAAACAACCCCCTCAGGATAGTTCAGCGGTATGGTTTGGCCCCCGCTGCACATTTGCATTCGCATGGTGCATGGTGCTGTGTTCCCGCTGGAGTGTCTCTGGTCTCCCGGGTAAGAGTGACTTCTTCATTGTTGTTGAAATGTTTGCCCTGCATACCTCGGTGTGTTTCATGGATCGGACGTGACCTCTTTCGTATATGTACATGTAAGTTTTTTTCACCACGCGTTTGCGCGTTGGACGGCCTTGCTTGGTATGTTTCGGAGTTGCTTTCGTCGTGCGTTGTTGTTTTAGCCTGTGTAGGGTGCGTGTTCGTCACACATGTGACGACTAGATCTGTTATCATTGCGACCGATTGGAGTTATACCGACGATGGTGGTAAGAGAATTAATGTCAAAACAAGGGTTGTCGACATCATTGCGTGAACTATGCCTTCAAAGCCTCCCACGGGTGCTGCACACGGAGGGTATTCCTGTTGTAGTAGCTCGTCTATGAAAAAGTATGTACGCAGAGGCATTGTTGCCAAGTTCCTGACTATTTTCACGAGCCAGCCCACGGGGGATGATGAGAAAAAGTACAGCGGAACTGTGAAAAGGGTGCAACCTTCGCTTAGTGCTCACCATCAGAAGCATCCCTGGCCTTGCCTCGGCATCAGCAGAAGTACATTTGAACCCGCCCAGAGCCCCCGCAACAAGACGATGCCCCTTAACAACTTGACGGTCTTCTTGTTGATGGCCGTGCCGTCGCTTGTTCGGGCGGGGGGTTGTCGGGAGAAGTATCCCATTCCAAGTTTTTGTCAAACCCTTGTCCGTCTTGTCGCCATTGCTATGCACAGCTCTCTGTACATACTCGTTGGATGAAGCATAGTTCTGAATCCTCAGACAGAAATCGGACAGTTGGTTTGTTCTCATATTGTGTTTGTATATGTCCTTCATTTGGAAGGCGAAGGCGTTTTATCTCTTGTATTAGAGACGCAAGGGGAGTAGGGAGAAGCGGAGCCCCCTGTGGAGTTCGAGGGGTCCCCGCACATGCAACCATTTCAAGGTGTACATATGCCCCATCTGCGTGCCCTCTGTTGTTGCCGGTAGATCTAACCAGTCCGTATCCAAACACACGAACACCCTCCCCGGTTTGCACGCGAATGGCAAACCTAACGTGGGGCATGGATACCCCTGATCTACCAAAGGGACTCAAAACAACACCACGCTCGAGGGAAAACCCGGCCAACCGGATCGCCTAACACCCTAAATATAGAAAACCGTCGCTATCACGGAGGATTCCAACGGCCGCACTTTCAAGACAAGACCAAGGCAGGACAGATTGAACCGGTCACGCTGATTACACACCCGAAGCAACGCTCTCGGCGTTTCTAGGCTCCAGCCGCGGGTGACGCGCCGGCACAACGCTTCCTGCGTGACGTACCATGGTCATATATGCCAAGTGCTACAACCACCACATAAACCAAACAGAACAAGAGAACACTACATCGGTAGGTTCATCAGAGCCTTCTGGTGGTACTTTAACTTCTCTCTGCCAAAGACCTTGGTCAGCATGTCGGCGTGCTGCTCTCCAGTCGGAACATACTCTNGAACCATGGTCATATATGCCAAGTGCTACAACCACCACATAAACCAAACAGAACAAGAGAACACTACATCGGTAGGTTCATCAGAGCCTTCTGGTGGTACTTTAACTTCTCTCTGCCAAAGACCTTGGTCAGCATGTCGGCGTGCTGCTCTCCAGTCGGAACATACTCTGCAGCGATCTTGCCCGACTTGAATAGCTCGCAAATGAAATGGAACCGCACGTCGATGTGCTCGCTCCTCGCTGAGCTGAACGGGTTCTCGATTAAGGCGAGAGCCCCCTTGTTGTCCTCAAGGACCTTGATCTTCGCCCCACTCGTCTCGGGCGCTATGAACGACAGAACGCCACGCACAAACAACGCCTCCTTCACGCCCTCCCCGGCTGCCATATACTCTGCTTCCGAGGTCGACTGAGCCGTCACTGGCTGCGTCTTGGTGGATGCACACACTACGGTACCACCTACGGTCACAGCTAGCCCGGTCGTAGAACGCCTGTCTACTTCGTTGTTAGCGTAGCTGGCATCGACAAACACGCTTAAGTCTAGTCCTGACCCCCGTTCGTAGGTGATGCCGAAGTCCTTCGTGAAGTTCAGGCAGGACACGATCCGCACAAGCGCGATCTTCTGGAGCTTGTTCAGAGGCAGGGCGATGTCTGGCCTCGTCAGCTTCGTCCACATCAGGCATCCGATCGCCTCCCTCACAGGCTTATCCACCGCGGGCTCGTCATCTCTCTTCGGCCCTAGGTCGGCATCGGTGGCAGCAAGGGTGAAAGCGGTCGTGGTCAAATCAAACCGTTTCAGCATACTCTCAATGTTTGCTGTCTGGGACAGCTTGGTGATGCCATTTTCTACATCCATGGCGATAGCACACCCGTCGTACCAGGTACACTCCCCCAGATCTTTCACCGGAAACTTCTTGTTGAGCGGAGCGAACAACTCCTCTCGCTCTCCCTCGTCTGCCGCCACTAAGATGTCATCAACGTAGATCACGATGAGACCTACGACCTCTCCATCCACCACCTTCCGGAAGACACACGGGTCAACCCTGCACTGCTCGTATCCATTCTCGATGAGGGCATAGGCAGCTTCAAACCCCCACTCACGGCCACTCTGCTTTAGGCCATACAGGGCACGCTCAACCTTGACCACCTTGCCGGACATGCTACCACAGCCTTCCGGGAACCTGAGGTATATTTCTTCTTTTAGCTTGGCGTGGATGTACGCTTGCTTCACATCCCAGTGAGCGATTTTCTTGCCCTTTTCAGTGGCTACGGCAAAACGTCTTGATAGACGCTGCAGACGGGCACGCTGAGGATGAGTGGTGGAAGTCGATGCCGGGGATTTGAGAGAAACCCCGCGCAACCATACGGGCCTTGAAGTCGACTATCAGGCCCTTCTCATTCGTCTTCCAAGAGAACACCCACTTTGAACCTATGGCCTTCCGCCCCTCGGGCAGCTCCTTGACCTTGGTAAAGGTTCCAGTCTTGTCGTGGCCATCTATCTCTTCCTCCATGGCCGCCTCCCAGAAAACCTTGTACTTGGAACATATCACATCCTTGTACGTCATCGGTACTGCTTCCACATCACTCGACTTCTGCCCGATTGGCGAGGTTATACTTAGCTGTGGGTCTGGGAGTGGTTGCGAAGACCCGCTGGCGTCGACCTCGGCCCCGAACGCCTGCTGTTCCGGGCCCAACACCTCCTGCATCTCGCGCCTCTACATCTCCTCCATACGGCGTATCTGCTCCTCGTCCCACTGCTCCTTCGCAATCGAGTTGCTGATGTAGTCCTCAACAATCCCCGTCCCGCCAGTTTCCAGGGTGGTCGCCAGCCATGCCTCTTCCGGGTCCGGTGTTTCTCCGGGCCCCGGCATCTCCCCGGCACCTTGCATCTCCCGGGTCTGCTTCCGCGTGCGGCCACTCTCAAGCCCATGCCGCAGCAGGCTAGCGTTCGAGGCGCCCCAGAGGAGTGTCCTCCCTTCTACCCCGCGGGGGTAGCGGTCGTCGGCTGGATCATACTTCAACTCCTCGAGGTTCTCGGAGTCGCCGGGATCACCATCGCTACCGCCGTCCCCACCTGGGTCGCCGGACTCTTCGCCGCCCGGGCCGCCGGCACCGCCGGTCACTGCTGCTGCTGCTGCTGCTGCTGCTGTCGGTGGGGCTGTTACTGCCTCCGCCGAAGTCGCTCCTTCCCGAAGGGGGCGACGGGGGAACGCTGCCTCCGTCCCCCGGAATCTCGTTGCCGGGTGCCGTCGGCGCCTCGTCGCGCACAAACGGCGTCGCTTGCCCTGGCCCACGAGCCTCCATCACGTCGAGGTCGGACTCACTCTCTTAGTCTCTCTCCCCCCCCCAACCTTGGCGTGATGCATCCGCTCTGCTCTCACCCTCCCCGCCCTCCTCGTCATCTGCGAGAGGTCGCAGCTGAGGGGGAGCGGGCGATGCAGCGGGCACGTGGCGCCAGGTGAAATTGCGGGTGGTGATTACGGTTCCAGCTTCGGTTAGCATGCGAACACAGTCACGGGGGTGATTGTGGGCAGGACCAAGGTACTATCCTTTTTCGCCCTTGGGTTGCGACTTTGCT